GTTGTACAAACATAATGTAGCGTCTGTATAGGACTAATCAGTTGTACAAAACATAATGTAGTGTCTGTATGGGACTAATCAGTTGTACAAACATAATGTAGTGTCTGTATGGGACTAATCAGTTGTACAAACATAATGTAGTGTCTGTATGGGACTAATCAGTTGTACAAAACATAACAAAGTAGTGTCTGTATGGGACTAATCAGTTGTACAAAACATAACAGAGTAGTGTCTGTATGGGACTAATTAGTTGTACAAACATAATGTAGTGTCTGTATGGGACTAATCTATTGTACAAACATAACAAAGTAGAAGTTCTTGATCCAACAATTTCTTTTGTCAAGTCCTGTTAGTTGAAGAATTTTGTAGATTTCGATTGGATAATTTAAAATGGAGGAACTTGGGAATGACGTGTCGGAGCTTGCATTCAGTAAGGAAGCAAATATCGAGATTAATTTTCTTAATTTTAAAGTCCCATTTCTCACAGGCATGGTATACACGCAGAGTATCATTTCCATATCGTCGAATCAGAACATTAGCAATCGATGTGTTCGAAAGAAAACGAAGTTTGATTATAAACAAGATTACGACACTTATGATATACAACATTGTTTATTGACAAAAAGGGGACATGGATAAACGTTTCGGAATTCTGTCAGATTCCATCTTGTTTGGTTTATAGTGTGATACTAGAGCATTTCAGTAAATGTTTCCAGAATTGGGGATTACATATTTATATACAAGTTTTATCTCTTGTTTTACGTAGGTGACAATCGCAGCAGTGTCTGATGAGGAACTTTTAGGACTTTTAGAGAGAATTACGTCTTCCTACGATGGTAAAAAAAAATTTCCCTGTCTCCTAATTTGATGCAAATAATGATAAGAATGACTGTTGTATGTATATATTTTAGATAAATATATAATAATGAGTAAGTTAGTTTCCTCTACAGTACTTCTTATGGTTCTAAAGATCTGACAGGCATGATTTTCAATTCTTTTCTGAAAATAGTTTAGTATTGCATCAGTTAATACCAACTACTGGATTATTTAACTAACATAGTTGTTTAGAAAGATTTACTTGCTATTTTTATTCACAAAAACCTTAAAGACAATTATCGGTTTAAAAGTTATTATAGGATTTACTTTAAAATATGAATACCAGACACTTGTGCAGTAAATAAAAGAAAATGTTAAAACATTATTTCGTTACTAGCAAATACCAAACAAAAAGATGTATTCTTCTTAATTACTGGATTTAAGCTTTCTTCTAATTTGTTTTTAAATGAGTTTCAGTTTTGATTTTAGTTGTTATTTTTTGAATCCTACTTTTGTTATGGAATAGTTTAAGAATTTTTATAAAGCTGTGAGTAACATTAAATATGTGATTTAGTATTGTATTCAAACAATGTGTTAATTATATGTTTACATATACACACACTTGGGGTAGATACTTGCTAGTGTAGATACTTGACACCATGTGTAGAGCAATCCGTGTAATGTATAGGTGAAAAACATTGTGTACGTGTGTGTAAGGGATCATGGCAAGTATATTCCACTGGTGATAATTGAAAATAACAGGAGGAGGGTACCATTATTACCAGAAGACCACTGGTAACATCAGTAAAGGAACTCTCTCCACATGAGGGATGGTTGTAACTCCAGGGATTGTCACCTAGTGTCATTTTGAGACACTACTGGAATGCACCTCACAATTTGTATGTTACTTTTTCTATTGACTTTCTAACCACCATGTATATGTATCGTTTAAATTAATCGGTTTGGTGTGACAAAACAAGTATTGTTAAAACATTTTTAAATCCCTGTCAAATATTTTTCTGTGTATGAAATACTTTTGGTAATGTAGTTTGTGTTTCTCACTACAGTAAATACAAGTACGGCTGTCATATTTATACAGAAGTATCCATAAGATGTATAAGTAACTTGGTGAACTTTGTACATTGCATGTCCATCTGTTGGTCTGGTTATCACTCATCGAAACAGAGCTAGTGCCCCTGCCACAACGTTGGTTGGGAGAAAGTGCAGTTTTTCAAAAAGAACTCTTAAAACCAGAATATGGCCAAACGGCCCTCAAACATTTAAAACAACAAGCTTCAATAATGGGTCTTTTGGAGTCTTGTGGACTGGTCGAAAACAACACTTGTTTTGTGGAATTTGGTGCAGGAAGAGGTAAAGACAAACTTTGCTAGATTAAATGTTTTACACTTGTTTTTTGGGTACAACTATTATTTCACTTCATTATATTACACATGATTGTATCGGTTCTTTGAGTTATATATGAATTGTACTAAAGAATAGGCTTCTAGAACGTAACATACTTCTGGTGTTAAACACAACGTGTATAATAAACTATGAAGTGACACAAATTACTTGAATAAAAATTAAAAATTTTTATACCTTGTATCAATTGTACAACATGCTAAAAAACGGAATTTTTGAACCTTTAATTCTTATATGAATTTAAAATGGTGTTTAATTTATTTATTTTTATTGATGGCTTGCTGTTGTTAGGACAGTTGAGTTATTGGACTGTTCAAGCAGTACCAGATGAATCGACCTGCAGCTTTGTGTCAATAGATAAGGGTTGTCAACGACATAAGGTAAGAAGGATCAAGTTATATACTTTTATCATTGACATTGTTTACTTGTTTTTTATTGATGGCTTGCTGTTGTTAGGACAGTTATGTCGTTAATACCACGTAAAGGTCAGTACTGATCCTTATTTCGTTAGTGCCACGTAAAGGTCAGTACTGATCCTTATGCCGTTAGTGCCACGTAAAGGTCAGTACTGATCCTTGTGTCATTGGTGCCACATAAAGGTCAGTACTGATCCTTATTTCGTTAATACCACGTAAAGGTCAGTACTGATCCTTATGTCGTTAGTGCCACGTAAAGGTCAGTACTGATCCTTATGTCGTTAATACCAAGTAAAAGTCAGTACTGATCCTTGTGTCGTTAGTGCCACGTAAAGGTCAGTACTGATCCTTATTTCGTTAGTACCACATAAAGGTCAGTACTGATCCTTATGTCATTAGTACCACATAAAGGTCAGTACTGATCTTTATCCAAGCTAGTACCATATGTACCTTCATAGAATGGCATTGGACCTGGTCCTGGTCACTCTCCATATGTATACTGTGTTAACACGTTTCATGTCTTATTTTTACTTGAGGAAAGAAGGGCACAAGGTGATCTTATTAAGCCTTACAAGATTATCAGGGGATTGATAGGATAAAGGCCTCTGATTTTTTTGTGCTGTATTCTGAGGATATTAGGATAAATGAATACAAGTTCAAGATTTGGAAAAGACATGCTAGGCTCCAGTTAAGACAGTTTTATTTTGCTAACAGGGTTTATAAAATGAGTTGCCATTAACAGTAGTGAAGGCTGATACTTTACAAGAGGGGAGTTGATGATTTCTTCTAAATTAAAAGTAGGAGAAACAAATAATAATGTGAAGAATAATTCATCAGGTGAGCAGGATGCTCTCCAGTGTGTTGTTTTAACTGTCCATGTGTAAACTAGCTATCTTGTGGTGATGGAGCTACACCATTGTCCATCTAACATAAAGGTCAATCTTTGCAAAAGTGAATGTTAATCATTCGAGAAGTCAAGCCTGCCAGTTGCTTCAAGTCCATATTATCAAATATCATTGAAAGTGATCTTCTGTGTAAACAAGTCCACATCCTGCTAACCACACTTTATGGAAATGTTGTCATAATATATTGGTTGTGTTTGATCAGCATCTAATCAACTTATTGTTTTCAACTTCAATAATGTCTTTGTTGTGTTTGATCAGCATCTAATCAACTTATTGTTTTCAACTTCAATAATGCCTTTATTGTGTTTGATCAGCATCAAATCAACTTATTGTTTTCAACTTCAATAATGTCTTTGTTGTGTTTGATCAGCATCAAATCAACTTATTGTTTTCAACTTCAATAATGTATTTGTTGTGTTTGATCAGCATCTAATCAACTTATTGTTTTCAATTTCAATAGTATCTTTGTTGTGTTTGATCAGCATCTAATCAACTTATTGTTTTCAGCTTCATTAATGTCTTCATCAGTCTGCATATGCTGTTATTCAGATTGGTAACTAACATTACACCAACTTGCCTTCACTATGCTATGGAATATAGTCACCTGTTTTACATGAAAATGAACTCGCAGGTGCTACTGACATTAGTAAATTATCTGTAGGAGTGTCTTGCTAGAACATGGAAAAACTGATATTTCCTTACTTGTTTTGAACAGCGTAATTTAATTATTTCACACAGTATTTCTACAAGTGAATTTGCAGATTTTCACAAAATCGTTTTGTAATGAATATAACGCTGTTAAGTAAATACCACAATTTGTAAATTGTATTGAGATAAGAAATTTTTTTAAAGTAGTTTATTAATTTATAATGTAATATGATGATGTTATTTATGCATGTTGTAATAATAATTAAAATGTTTTTTTGATGCAAGTTACCTATCATATCAACCATGTGTTTGCCATGATCTTGGCTTGAGGTGAACTTGAAAGAAATTCTACATTTTCTTGTTTATTTAAATAAATAATCCATCAAATGTGTTTTATTTATTTGTTTTAAGGCAGCATTTATGGATGAAAATTAAAATATTTTTCTTATAATGTAATAATTTTCAGTGGTGAAAATGTGATGAATTTTTCACTTTAGTTTGAAAACAGATTGAAAGGTGAAAATGAACCGAGGATAAAGAGAATTAGAATCGACATTCAAGACCTTGTATTAGGTAATAGGTTCTAATTATTTATAAATATAAAGTTGCATGACAAAGAAATTGATACTTCTATCTGAGATATGTTGTTTTCTTTATATATTAATTACTATTTTTTATAAAATACAAATTTGTTTTGTAGGTAAAGTTCCCTGTGTAGCAAATCACGAGGGAAAAATCGTTGGACTAAGCAAGCACCTGTGTGGAGCTGCAACAGGTGAAACATTTTAATGTTGATCTTTAAGTGTTCACTTTATAATTATAGGTAGCACTGGTATTGTTTATTGAGGATGATCTTGTTCAGTAACATTGGTATTGTTTACTGAGGATGATCTTGTTCAGTAACATTGGTATTGTTTACTGAGGATGATCTTGTTCAGTAACAATGGTATTGTTTACTGAGGATGATCTTGTTCAGTAACAATGGTATTGTTTACTGAGGATGATCTTGTTCAGTAACTGATATTGTTTACTGAGGATGATCTTGTTCAGTAACTGATATTGTTTACTGAGGATGATCTTGTTCAGTAACAATGATATTGTTTACTGAGGATGATCTTGTTCAGTAACAATGATATTGTTTACTGAGGATGATCTTGTTCAGTAACTGATATTGTTTACTGAGGATGATCTTGTTCAGTAACAATGATATTGTTTACTGAGCATGTTCTTTTTCAGTAACTGATATTGTTTACTGAGCATACTCTTGTTCAGTAACAATGGTATTGTTTACTGAGGATGATCTTGTTCAGTAACTGATATTGTTTACTGAGGATGATCTTGTTCAGTAACAATGATATTGTTTACTGAGCATGTTCTTTTTCAGTAACTGATATTGTTTACTGAGGATGATCTTGTTCAGTAACAATGGTATTGTTTACTGAGCATACTCTTGTTCAGTGACAATGATATTGTTTACTGAGGATGATCTTGTTCAGTAACAATGATATTGTTTACTGAGCATGTTCTTTTTCAGTAACTGATATTGTTTACTGAGCATGTTCTTTTTCAGTAACTGATTTGTTTACTGAGGATGATCTTGTTCAGTAACAATGATGTTGTTATAACTTGCTATAACTAAGGTCATGTTTCTTGCTATAATTAAGGTTTGTGATGGATGAAGGGCACGTTTAAACCTTAATTATAGCAAGGTGATGGATGAAGGGCACGTTTCAGGATTTGTTTTTTTTTAGCACAAAGCTATACAATGGTCTGTCTGTGCCCACCACAAGTATCAAAACCTAGTTTTTAGCATTATAAGCCTTTAGGCTTAGCCACTAGGGGCCATACAGTTTTAGAAAAGGCTATGTGTAGGTGAAATGAAATCACTTATTTTAGTAAAAAAGACTATTCATGGAGTATACGGAGAAGATCATCACACCAGGAAGTGGTACTTACAGAGCCTGTTACACAAAAGAGGAGTCACAATGGTCCAATCCTCCGACTGGCGCTAGCGGTACTTACAGAGCGTGTTCACGAAAGAGGAGTCACAATGGTCTAATCCTCCGACTGGCACTAGCGGTACTTACAGAGCGTGTTCACGAAAGAGGAGTCACAATGGTCCAATCCTCCGACTGGCGCTAGCGGTACTTACAGAGCGTGTTCACGAAAGAGGAGTCACAATGGTCTAATCCTCCGACTGGCACTAGCGGTACTTACAGAGCGTGTTCACGAAAGAGGAGTCACAATGGTCTAATCCTCTGACTGGCACTAGCGGTACTTACAGAGCGTGTTCACGAAAGAGAGTCACAATGGTCCAATCCTCTGACTGACACTATCATCAGACATCATTGGTTATGTGCACTAGATCATTGTGTACAGGACAAAGGTTAGCTGATCTGGGGACACTATGTGGACAGATCACCGATGTAATAGCTACTGTTATGCTTGATAGGCTGGCCAACATGAGGATGAAAATCAAATGTCAACTCTATCTTGAGGATCTTAAATGGAACACTAGCAGAGATGGCAGATTGTGTGTGGCAAATAACTGCACATGTGTGCCCTTTATTTACCCCAAATAACTGTACATGTGTGCCCTTTATTTATCCAAAATAACTGCACATGTGTGTCCTTTATTTACCCAAATAACTGCACATGTGTGCCCTTTATTTACCCCAAATAACTGTACATGTGTGCCCTTTATTTACCCCAAATAACTGTACATGTGTGCCCTTTATTTACCCCAAATAACTGCACGTGTGCCCTTTATTTATCCCAAATAACTGTACATGTGTGCCCTTTATTTACCCCAAATAACTGTACATGTGTGCCCTTTATTTACCCCAAATAACTGCACATGTGTGCCCTTTATTTACCCCAAATAACTGCACATGTGTGCCCTTTATTTACCCCAAATAACTGCACATATGTGCCCTTTATTTACCCAAATAACTGTACATGTGTGTCCTTTATTTACCCCAAATAACTGCACGTGTGTGCCCTTTATTTACCCCAAACCGTAAGTTCTCAACCATTATTGTCTTGTCGTGGTATAAGTTTGTAATGAGTCACATAATGTTAGAACAACCTGGATATAAATAGGTGAAACAGTTCTCTTAACTTTTATTAGAAAATTATTCCGGTTGTTTCTTGTTATGCTTGTGACGGGCATAAGCTGATATTAAATTGTCTTTCTTCAGATCTTTCTCTGCGTTGCCTTGTTGAAAACTGTTGTGACCAGAACAATGGAAACTTGAAACAATGGTAAGAAAATAAGTTTTGTTCGGGACTTAGATGGATTTACTTTACTCAAATAAATAATGTCTGTTTTCACGATGGGTGAGGGTACAAGACACTATACTCGGGTTCCATGCCTTGGGTATGATGAAATTCACAGACTCTTCCCTTATCAATATGTTATTTTTTGACCATTTAATCTATGCTTGTAATGTATAATTGAACTATTACATATTAATAAAATGTGAACTAGCCAAACTGTACTCGTATATTTGTCATAAAGACTAGACAGGCCGTAAGTTAAAGAGTCACAGTTTGTTTAAATGTCATCTTGCAAAGTTTCAATATAATCAGTTCATGTTCTTCTAAGATTATTGATCATTTATCAGAACATAAAGAACAAAAACAGTTTATCCATTTGGTTATGATAGTACAAATCACTGTTTTTTAATTTAAGTTTAAATCACAAAATCATTATTACAGCATAAACAAGATCCTTGTGTTTCTACTGACATAGACTTAACTTCCTAAGTAGCTAAAGTACTTAACTTTACCATATCTGTTCTCAGATTATATCAGTTGTTGGCTATTTAGTAATGCTCAATTATTAATGAAAGACTTGAACTTTGATTCTCACCCCTAGAATTAGTCCACATTATTCAAATTAAGCCTGTTATCAGACTTGGGCTGGTGTTATTTCAGTTTGTTTATAATTTGACATTTGTATTGTGAATGCTGAGTTTTCAAGTTGTTTAGAAACTTCTGATTGTTTAAATTGGAACAATTAATGAAACTTTATTTTAGCGTTGAAGGACTTGTTCTGGCACCATGCTGTCACCATCGTTGTTCTTGGCAAAGCTATGTTGGTCAGTTGTTTCTAAAGTCGCACGGTTTCACACCACGAGACTTTCAACTCATGTGTGGTATCGCAAGTTGGGCAACTTGTGGATCCACACTACAAGGCAAGTTGATTATTTACACAGAATTAGTTATCAGTTTTCTTTGACTGTCTTTTTTTTCTCATTAAAAAAAACTGTGTTGATAATAACATATTTATAATAGGTGTATTTTTGTATCAATACTGAGATCAAATTTAAATGAATTTCTTTGTTTCATAAAAGTCATATTTTTCAATAGCTGTTTTCACCATACTTAGAAATAAAAATTTTCTATTTGCTAAAATGTAATAAGTTTCAGTTAAAATAATTTAGTTTTCTCTTGAATCTGCTTTTCAAGTCTACACCACTGTGACTATTTCTAAACCAAGTTTTTATTGTTTTTTTGTCATCTGTTATTGCTCATAATTAAAAGTACTGGTAATTTGCACATAATTATCAAATAAATCATCGTCATTATACATTTATATAATTATATTCAATGTGACTTTCATTAAACACTTAGTGTATTGTGTAGATTTTGTAGTCTATTCATGACCTGTATTAAAAACGTTTCTTCATAACTTAGTTGTGTTATTCAGTTTATATTTAATTAACTCATCTTTTTTAGTTGTTTTATATAGTTTATCTTGAACTAAATACCTCTTATTTTATAATTGTTTAATTAGTTTATCTTTAATTAAATACCTCTTATTTTCTAACTGTTTAATATAGTTTATCTTTAATTAAATACCTCTTATTTTGTAACTGTTTAATATAGATTATCTTTAATTAAATACCTCTTATTTTGTAACTGTTTAATATAGATTATCTTTAATTAAATACCTCTTATTTTGTAACTGTTTAACATAGTTTATCTTTAATTAAATACCTCTTATTTTCTAATTGTTTAATATAGTTTATTTTTAATTAATTACCTTTTATTTTGTAACTGTTTAATATAGTTTATCTTTAATTAAATACCTCTTATTTTCTAATTGTTTAATATAGTTTATCTTTAATTAAATACCTTTTATTTTATAACTGTTTAATATAGTTTATCTTTAATTAAATACCTCTTATTTTGTAACTGTTTAATTCAAAATAAGAGGTATTTAATTAAAGATAAACTATTAAATTCCAATATAACAAGAAATAAACAGATAAGAAAATATTTTCAATACATGTACCTGCTGTTCTGCTGTTGGTTGTCACCATTGTTTTCTATTTGTCTGGCTTCTTCCATGCAGTCTTTATTACAACTAACTAAAGTTGAGGAAAACATTACTAATTATGACATCTATAAAAGATTAGGTGTTTACTTACAAATAAACTGTATTAAACAATTAGAAAATAGGAGGTATTTAACTAAAGATAAACTATATAAATCAATTACAAAATAAGAGGTATTTAATTAAAGATAAACTATATTAAACAGTTAGGTTTCTTAATAAAACATCTAAAATTTATTGTAATTATAAATAATTTGTTTCATTTTTGCAGTAGATTCTTTTACATTCTGCATTTTATAAAAATCTGTGTGAATAAAAATATTAAATTTTTAGCAGAGTTTTAGAGTAAGATGAACCTTAGATAAATTTACATTTGTTCTTTCATTTGTTAATATCCAGCATTAATGTTACTAGGTTCTGTTAGGTAAATGTTTGATATTTAACGGTTGATTCATATGAAGATCTTTCAAATTGTGCATGTTCTAAATTTTTCCTTGTGTTTCTAGATATACGAGACTTGACTTGAGTCCAAGCTACAGGGAAGAGATGGGTCACCAGTGTAAGAAACTAATTTTTCCTTGTGTTTCTAGATATACGAGACTTGACTTGAGTCCAAGCTACAGGGAAGAGATGGGTCAACAGTGTAAGAAACTAATAGACTTTGGAAGGTTGTGCTATTTGAAAGAACATAACTTTTGTGTTGATATGGTGCAGTATGTGGAACCTTCTGTATCGCTGGAGAATATTGCTCTTGTGGCAAGAAAAGACAACAAACGGCAACCTTTAAGTTGTTGACAAAGTTCTTTTATAACAAAAGTTATGTAACATTCAAAATTTTTAATAAACACTTTTTTAGCATTGTTTGTTGGGTTTGAAATGATCAGGATTTCTATAGCTGAGATATATTTACTGAATCGTTACTTCAAACATGCACGTGATCTACATCTACAACATGTCGTAAATCAACGAGTAACTTTAAAAAATCAGTATATAATATCCTGTTTTTTCTGATACGCATCTGAACAAACTCGGTGCTCACTAAAGGAGTCTATTGTGAGCAGATAGAATTGTATTTTGTGTCTCGTTGGTGATTTGATAAAACTCCCACTGATTCCTTGTTTTTCATACAATTTGTATGTTTGGAAGTTTTAACTTTGTTCTTCTAGGTCGAAACTGATACTAACATTTAATATAGGTCTCTTTACGTATTAAATGAAGATCATACAATGGTAAAAAAAAGTTAGGTGTAGTCTTAGAAATTACTAATAAGGTCAAACAAATTATCCTCAGATCTCACCAAATACTGGATTTATAGAATATTTTACACAAAACATAAAACCTTGTATTTTGACACAACTTCTGTGTAGTTTAGACTAGTTTGAAGATTAAATTTGGACATTTAGCCCCAGCTCAATTCCCAAAGTTGGTTCACATATTTTGATATGCTACCTCAAATTGTTGGTTACAAGGTCCTTTGTCTGTTAAACTGTTAATAATAAGGTCCTGGGTTCATGCTATTGTTGGCTACAAAGTCCCCAGTCTGTGACTTTATTGGTTACAAGGTCCCGTGTCTGCAACATTGTTAATTATAAGGTCCTGGCTTCATGGCTTTGTTGGTTACAAGGTTCTAGGTTGTTGGCTTTGTTAGTTATTGGTCCTGGGTTGGTGAAATTGTTGGTTACATCATATATAATTTGTAAGTTACACTTCTTTTCAGGCATATTTGTGTTTGGTTTGTTTTTACTTACTGCAGCATAAGTTCAAGACATACATAACTCCTCGAGTTGTTTATGTCAGAAACCTGGCTATCCCATAGGTGAAAGGTCATCACCAGAAAAGCCTAGTCAAATTGTTTGTTTCTGTGGTAACTAACCTTATAATAAATGGGAAGTTAGTTTGGACCAAAAATCAAATATAGTTGCTGAACTTGTATTTAACCTGGGTATAAATTCTGCTAGACAGGTTTTATATGGATTAGTATTTTGCTGAATATTACAAACAATTATTGAATTGTGACTTCTTGGGACAGTCCTTTCCTGATATATTTAATCACTCTGGTGACTTTCGTGGATTCCAGTGCCACCTTGTGGTTAGTTTTTATATATCACTTTGATTTTCCTCCCACTTTTGATGGGCTCTTGAAATAATGCTCAGTGTAGATTGTAGAACATGTTTAGTTAGTAGAGAGTGACTTTTAAGTTGTGATATATGCATCATTATATTGGCTGGGTTTTGACTTAGAGGCTCAGTTGAAACTTGAAATTTACCACTTCTTATGCTGAATGAAAGGTTATTGCATTTGTTTTTAATCAATGATTGCAATGCATTGTTGGCAAAATGTTTGGGTTTCGATGAAATGAGTGCATACAGCACAATAGAGGGCTCAGGTTACTTAAGCAGCCACAAGGATTTTTTCCACTGGATGCCACCATTCCTTGTCATTTTACTGAGTGCAAGAAAAGACTGCTACTGAAGTGAACACTTTTTTGACAGGTCATTTTCTCTAAGAAGTGTCAAAGGGGAGATATTCAATTCAATTTATTCAATATGGTACAATAAAACCATGCATGCATATAAACATGAAAACATACATACATACACACACACACACAAACACACACACATATATATATATATATATATATATATATAT